CCCTCCTCCAGAGACCCTCCTGCGTCAGAGACGCTGCCCTCCTCCAGAGACTCTCCTTTGTCCCCGGCCCCCAGAGACCCTGCCTCGCCGCCGGCTCCGCGGCACTCTGCCTCGCCTCCGGCCCCACTGCCGGCCACCAGAGACTTTGATTTTCCTCCGCCCACCCTGGGTGGGTTGTTTTGTTTTTTGGACTCTGACTTTTGGTTTTGTGTTTCGTGCCCTCCTTCCTGGTTCCCCCTCCGCCCACCCTGGGTGGGTTGTTTTTTTGTTTCTGGACATTTTAGGGCATCTGGGATCCGCCCTTAAGTGGGGGGTACTGTCATGGTTTTGGTTATGTTGTGCTTTAATTTGCTCTATGTTTCCTAGTTTTATTGGTTTAATTCTTATATTTTTGTAGTTTCTAGATTTATGTTCTCAGGTTTTTCTGTTGTTTTCCTCTGTTGCCCTCTTGTGTTCCTTTCCCCTTAGCTCCCTCGTTGTCTCCTCACACCTGCTCCTTGTCAGCTAGTTAGCCCGTTTCCTTGTTGTTGCTGATCCTGTCATCGCTGTTCTGTGCTCACCTCGTCTCTCCCTGGCTCCTGGGTTGGATTTTTGGATTTTGCCCCCTATTGTTTGTGTCACGATTAAAACTACAATAATTCACCTCAGCCTCTCTGCTTCTGCATTTGGGTCCTCTAAACCAGGCATCCCCAACCTCGGTCCTCAAGGACCGCTGTCCTGCAGGTTTTAGAGGTTCCACTGCTCCAGCACAGCTGATTTTAATTGAAAGCTGATTATTGCATTCATTAATATGAAGTCCCCTTTACTCTGATTCCTATGTATAAAATTCAGTGCTACTTATATATTACAGGGTTTCTTTGTGGTGTTAATTCCTCTCTGCTGGTCTGCACAGATGGTGAAGCCAGTGAGTTCCTGAGTACAGAGAAGAGTGTTTTTCTGCAACCAGACCAGCCACATACTCTAAGCATCCTCTACCTGTCCTTCTATACAGGAACCAAATACTGCTCTGTGCTGCTGCTTAGTCCTCATGTCTGGCTTTGCTATTTACCAGACTTATAAGCAGATATGCTTTTTGAGCTATGTAATGGGAAAAAAGTATCCAACTATTCATGCTAGTTAAATAAATGGAGGTCGATGGATTTCGCTCAGTCGGCACATTTATTCATATCTTTGCAAAGAGAGAACAGTTCATCATACAGCCCTTATGGCACAGCATTCTGCCCTGTTCTGCATGAACAGCGTTCCTTCCCCCTTACTTACAACAATGGAAAAGTAGTCGGAATCAAAACAAGTTACAGGCACTTTGGTTAACAGTAACATGTTATGAATAAACCTTGAGAAAGAATCTGGTTTGTTATGGGAAGAAACTATGTCTAGTCTATAAACACCATCCTGCAGAGAATGGTGTGGGCTTGAAAGTGAAACAGACTGAGTGAAAACTTTTACAGTGAGTAAATAGGATAAATTAATATATAATTAAAAGAGAAATCTAAATTTTCCGACACCAAGCAGTTATATTAAGCTGACCTATTTTTATAAAACAGTTAATAATTTGGAATAAAAACTGAATCTAAGGACATGTTTCTGTCTTCTATGTCTTCGCTCCTTGGTCCCTCACAGTGCATTGATATCTAATAGAAGGTATCAAAGTCATTACAGACATTAGAAACTGGTTTAAGAAAGCATTCTCTGCTATGAAAATCTCTCTACTCTGAACATTACATACCAAACCTTCACATGTGGCCTTTTTTTATTCTTTTCAGGAGCCCATCTATAGACATAAGGAGCCTTCAGAGGGGGGATGGGGGGAGACAAGATTGCACTGGCTGGGCGCCAGATGTGTATTTCTGGAATAAGGAAATAAATAGTTCCAGTACGTACAGGTTTGATTCCTGTCTAGGGTTACTGCAGTTTGCTTATTCTGATTTGTTCCGGAATAACTGACGTCTGTGGTGTTAAAAATTGTCATAACAAAGTGAGATAGGATCATTTACAGGACCCTCAGTTGCAAGATTAATCTCTGTTGCATCAGTGTTTACTCTAAATAATTCAAATTTTGCCTCTTTAAACCTAAAATTGGAAAAAAATACATTGATACACAAATTATGACAAACTAAATGGCTTCTAAATATATAGATTATTACAATATGTTTTGTATATTTGTAATCACAGCATTTTATTGTTGAATTTGTATCAATTTTCACCTGTTTTAGCAGCAACTCATTGGTGCTTGGTTCATTTTTGGTTAGATTTAGTTATAAATGCTTTAAAATAAATTGATAATCTTTCCCACTAATGCTGTATCAGTCAGACCTGCTTTATCTGAACATCTTCTGTTAGTCAGCCAGAGGACGAAGAATGCAGAAAAGTGACCACTCCTTCTCTCT